GCCAAAATTCGTTTCGAATTGGGGTTGATACAACCGATTCAGCGCTTGATGAAATTAGTGAAATTTCAGAGATTTCACAAGTGTTGGGAAACAGCAGCAGAACTCGAGGAGACAATGGTGCTGAGTTGAGCAAAAAATCCGAAGTGAGACACGGGGCAAAACGTGTCATCAAACGGAGGAATTTCAAACAATAAAGGCTCAATAACGCAGGCGAAGATTAAGGACAACGCCGTCGCAAGAGCCAATGTTCCAGATTTTATAAAGAAAATTATGCGCCTAAAAAATAGGGCGAGAACAACGCAGAGGGCCAACAGCAAGGTCAACTGAAATTGAACATTTGTTTCAACTGCGGAGAAGAGGGATACACATCTGCAGAGTCTGGACTCTCATTGGGAAATGGAAACGTCGAAGTAATTCGATCGAATTCTAAACGTAATGTCGAACATCGAAATCAGGAGAAATGCAAGTACTGCAAATATGAAGGTCATAATGCATATGTTTGCTGCAAACTGAAGAAACGACTTGGAATTTCTGACTCAGCAGAAATTGAGGTCATTCTAAATGGAAATAAGGTCGGAATTAAGAGCAACGTTTACACCAAACGTAAGAATAGAAATAAAAACGAAAAATCCAGGAGGTTAAAGTCACTGAATCACGAAATGAAAGACATCGATTTTGGAAATAAATGAACAGGCGGACATTCTCCAAATGAGTCAACGGAAATCCACACACAGAGATAAGCCATCGGAAATACGGATTTTTCTTCCTTGATGGGGAGGAGAGATGTTGAAAAGGGAATTATCGGTGTTGGGAAAAAACCGTATTTCCAGTGGTTTGCCTGGCTTGGAACATCTTTGCCAGATGGCAGCGGGAAAAATGAGTCATGTCAACAACAGCAACAACTATAATAATGACGTAAAAATGGTAGCAACATCCAAATGTCGAAAGAAAGTGAATCTACCACTTAGTAAAAAATTGGGAAAATTGACTACGCGTTCGGGGACAGTTTTCTTCTCTATTGCCAGGAGAAACCCAAGTCGACTCCAGTCAAAAATTATCTCTGACTTGTAGAAGCGGACGAGAAATGAGGAGACTATCGGAGACTCATTCTCATTGAAGAATCGTTCCAGAATCGTCAGTTCTAACGGGAGGAGGCGAAATTTCTCGGTTATGAAAGCTGATACTTAGTTTCATCAGACTTCATTAAATAGAGAGGCTTAGAATGTACGTACTCCCACGTTAGATGAGATCTACTCGGTTTTTCAACGAATCCTCGATCCCAAGATGACGGCGCAGGCAGGTCGACTACTAATGTCGAATCCTGAGGTCAACGGAGGACGTGTATTGCAATTTTATACATGTGAGGCGCTTCACACAGATGAAGGTTTGGGTCTTGAACTAGGGCCTAGTAAGGGCTACAGTAACCTTGCCTCCAAGAGTCAAGAAATTGATAATTTTTTATGGGGGAAAAATTCACAACATCACTCAATGGGAAAACCCTTGAAAGAAATTCCTTCAGGATAACTAGGAGTTAGTTTGAATAAATAAATACCTCTAATTCTACCGAGTAATATACTGAATTCTAGTATCTACCCACTGTAGGGAGATTTATCTCCAATTCGCAGAACCCAGGGATTAATCCTAACAGTATCATCATGACGAGTATTTCGAAAAAAATCGAATCGGCTTCAGGAGATATCGACAAAAAACGATTTTCGAAGCATGACTATATCTCAGTAAACGCTCAACCAATCGAGCTTCAATTAAGCACAAATTTGGGTCCCAGTAGTATCAATTAACAGCCAGAATTTCAGCATCTTTACCTCAATAATTATACGATTAAATGACTTATCTGTAAGGAAGTTCAATCGTAATTATATGGAGCGCCTCTAATTATAAGGAGATTTAGAGTCAAAATATGGTACCCCCATGGTATGCCGATGTTATCACAAATTTTAAAGCTAGGATTTTTCCCGCTGGGCTCCGCGCCAGCGCCCCTGCTCGGGCCAAGCCGAGGCGAATCCTCATTCACTGAAAGCGTTCTCGTAAGACCAGGGAACGTCTCGCACGAGATAAGGGAAATAGGAGTCCTGGGTGGGGGTCATCTCCGCGGAAGAGGCGCTCCATATAATTACGATTGAACTTCTATACAGGTAAGTGGTTTAATCATATAATTATATTACGCGCCTCTTTCTTCGGGGATTTAGAGTATAAATATAGCTGTTTAAAATCGACATTTTAAATATATGTATTTTGACTATGTTTGACAACAAACATAGTCAAAATACATATATTTATAAGCAATCATGAGCTCTGATGTTTCATCTGCGATATTTTTCAGAGTGTACGTCTCCATGATACAACCCCTGCAGCCAGGGTAAGTGTCTTCCACATGGGGTGCGGGGACCTGTCAATAGATTTCAACAATTTAAAAACAGGATCGAAGAAAATCAATTCCGATCGGAGCATTGATGTAAGGACTGGATACCAGGGCGGAGCTGGCCAGTAAGGGACAACTAAAATTCCTTCTGATTTCTCACATTCAATTTTTTTAAGAATTTGAAGAATGAGGCGGAAGGGAGGAAATGCATAGAAGAAGAAAGGCTTCCAATTCAGAGTGAATGCATCAATTGCTATGGATTCTGGGGCTATTTTCCAAGAGGTAACTTTTTGCATCTAGTGTTGACTCTGGTGGCGAATAAATCAATATTCGGATGACCGAAAGTGGAAGTTATCTCTTTAAATGCATCGTCTGATGAAGAGTACTCTGTCTCAGGATGATGACGTCGAGACTCGAAATCAGCCTCAAAAATTTCTTCTGAAGTAATGTAACAGGTGAAAACCCAGATCTCTCGAGACTCACACCAATCCCAAATGTTCCATGTTGACAAAGATGAGAGAACTGATGAGAGAACTGCCACCCTTTTTGTTGATGTATACTATCGCCGTAGTGTTATCAATTCCCAATACAATATCACAATTTCGGTGTGTACTGGCGAAACATTTTAGACCCATCAACGCAGCCCTGAGTTTTCAATTATTAATGTGAAGCGACTTTTCTTCCCGATTCCAAGAGCTATGGGCTCTTTTTCCTTCGCAAAAAGCACCCCAGACCGTGGTAGAAGCATCTGTGAAAATCTCCAGAGCTGGATTGAAACACGTGATCGAATTAATAGCTCTGTGAATGTTTTGTTTTCACCAATTCAGATCCACTTGAGATAACTTGGAGGAAGAGATTTTTGCCTCAAAATTATCATCATTGTTCTGGACAGCTAGTAATTTTTCACATTCAAAACTTCACAAATGGACTCAGCCAAATTTCAGTGTCGAGCAACACGCGCCTAAGGACCCAATAAAAACCGCGAGATCCCGAATTTTGCACGTGGAGGCCCGTTCAATCTTTTCAATCTGACTCAAGAATTTTCTCTCTTTTCGTTTGGTAATTCCACGGTTATTTATATCGAATCGTAAATGAGGCCGAGAAATTTGCATCTAGTCGATGGAACTAAATTACACTTTTTGTCGTTAACGACAAATTCAAGAAAACGAAGAACGCGTAGTGTTTCTTCAACATTCAACTCGCAGTCGTCAATTGAATCTCCAAGCAATAACAAATCATCCAAATAAATTACGGATTTGAAACCCGAAGATCTCAAGAAGGACACAACCGGCTTCATGAGTTTCGTGAAGGTGAACGGCGCAGTGCTTAGACCAAAAGTTAAACATTGAAATTTGTATAGTTTTTCATGAAAGGAAAATCTCAATAATTTTCTATCCGATGACTGTATCGGAACTAGATAATACGCATTCTTCAGATCAATGTTCGCCATGAACGAACCTCGAGTGATAATTCTACGCACGGTCTTTTCATCCTCAAGCTTGAAGTGCTCAGGGATAATGAATTTATTCAGTCGCTTAAAGTTGAGAATGAGTCTGGAGGACCCGTCAGGTTTCGGTACAAGGAAAATTGAAGAAAGAAATTGATCTGCCATCGGAGGCACTTGTTTAATTAGATGATTAGATGATATTCAGTCAATTAGATGATAGATGATAGATGAATTAGATGATTCAATTAGATGATATTCATCGCTTCGTTGACTGGTGCAATAACAATGCTTTAGATCTTAACCCGGGGAAGTCAAAAAAAATCTCTTTTCATCGATCTCGTAGTCCCATGTTTACTGAATATACTTTTAATGGAACTGTAGTAGAGAATGCATTAGCTACTCGAGACCTAGGGGTGTTGTTTAACAACAGATTAACATTTGTTAATCATATCGATAATACAGTGGCGTCGGCCAGTAAAACTCTGGCATTTATCACGAGAACCTCTAAAAACTTCAGCAACATCAATGTCATCAAAACCCTGTATATGAGCCTAGTTAGACCTAAACTTGAATATGCCTCGCTAGTATGGTCCTCTCCTTATAAGAACTATATTAATAAAATAGAAGCTATTAATAAGAATTTCCTGAAATTTATGAGTGGGAAATTGGATTGTGTATATCCTGAAAGAGGTTTTGATGTAATTGTTTTTGAAAAGACGTTGAAGGCTATCATACCCTAGGTGGTATGATAGCTGCATTAAAAAATCAGAAAAATAAATGATAAAAAATATGGAAAAAATAACTGACACAAAAACACAATTCTTGGGAAAAAGCCGAAGCATAAAAAACCCAGATATATTTACTTCGATACAAGATTTAAACGATTAACTGCGAATGACGTTATTCACACACACACACATGCATCCACACATCAATGTTTGTCTAGGAACGCATAGACGAACTGTCGACTGAATATGTAGACACACACGCGCACTGATAAATTACGATAGGATAAATCCCACACTGAATGTTCAGGTGGAATAAGTTAGGATTGCGCAATTTAATAATCACGACTTTGATATCGTGGCTTCGGTGCCACGTGTGACACGAAACCGTTGGATTTCGTGTCTTAGGTTAAGATTTTTGATTGATAGCTTTTAGATTTTTTCGTCACTATAGTTTGTGAACGAAAACGATTGATTGATCGATGGTTCCTTTCGGATGATTATTTTTGTCGATTATGACAACGATAAAGTCAGGATNGCGTTTGTAGGTGCCGTTGGCAGTCCTAACTGATGCAACTCGAGCGATGCCGTCACTCCCAGGAAACACTTCGACGATCACACCCAGCGGCCATCGTGCACAAGCAACAGCGTCATCCATAAGCAGGACTACTGATCCCAGTTTGAGTTCCGCAGTCGAAGTATGCCATTTTTGGCGAGTTTGCAATTCATGCAGATATTCCTTGTGCCACTTACTCCAAAAGTCCTGTTTGGCCTTGGTGATGAAGTTGTAAGTGGACAAGCGATTGTCTGAAACTGATAAAAACGATTTTTCGGGTAAGGCGTTGAAGGGTCGACCTATCAACAGATGGGCTGGAGTTATAGCTAAGGGATCATTGGGATCAGCTGAAAGAGTACATAAAGGTCGAGAGTTTAAGATCGCTTCGATTTCGATCAGCAAAGTATTGAGTTGCTCGTAGGTGAGCTTATGATCTTTCAAAACGCGTTTCAGATGATGTTTGAAACTCTTTACAGCTGCTTCCCAAATCCCTCCGAAATGAGGTGATAAAGGTGGATTGAAATGCCACGTGATGCGTTTAGTTAACGCGAAATTCCCCACCGTTTCCTTGAAATTAGGAGAGGAGAGAAGATCAGAAAGTTCGCCAAGTTCTCCATTAGCTCCGACAAAATTAGTCCCGTTATCAGAGTATACATGTTCAGGGACACCCCGACGACTAATAAACCTTCGGAACGCTGTTAAAAAATCTTCTGTCGATAGATCGGTAGCGAGCTCGATATGTACAACCTTAGAGACCATAAAAACGAATACACAACCGTATGACTTGAGAAACGATCGGTTGCGATCCCTTTTCTCCTTGATGAGAATAGGACCAAAGAAATCAACACCTGTCCGAGAAAAAGCTGGTGCTTCGTTAACTCGAGCTTTAGGTAGATCTGCCATCTGAGCATGTACTAATTTCGGTTTCTGGCGGATACATTCAACGCATTGATGAACGATTTTTCTAATCTGGTCTTTACCATTTAAGATCCAGAATTTCGATCGAATAGCGCAGAGAGTGCTTTGAATCCCTGCATGGAGATTCGAGGAATAAACCTGTCAAATAATCATGTCAGTCACCGGATGTTTACTGGGCAATAAGATGGGATGTTTCGTATCATAAGAAAGTTCCGACTTTTCAAGACGTCCTCCCACATGAAGGAGTCCCTTCTCATCCACGAATGGATGTAATTGGTCAAAAGGCGTTCCCCTTGACGATGAACAAACTGAACCTTCCGATGATTGATTGGTCCTGAGCTTTCGGAGTTCAACGGAGAATCGTTCACGGTGAATCATCATGAAGATGCGATACTCGGCTTCATGGAGTTCTTCAACACAGAGTGGACGATTCCGAGGAGTTTGGAAATTCTTCCAACGTAAGATGTAAGCCACAACTCTTACAAATCGTTCGAAATTCGAGAAACGAGAGTAAAGCAATTCACATGAAACGGTAGTGAGTAGACAGAGGCTCTTTATCAGTCCAGGCACTAGAATTGCAGAAGATACGATTGACTGCGGCCATTGGGATTCATCCAGAGCTAGCCATCTAGGACCTGAAGTCCATAGAGAATTCTTGACTAATTCTGAAGGAAGTTGTCCTCGAGATAACGCGTCAGCTGGATTGTCTTCGGACCGGACGTGTCTCCAGCTAACTTGATCACCTAACGTTTGGATATCTGCCACTCTGTTTGATTCGAAAGTCCTTAAAAGATGAGGAGCTTTCTTAAGCCAGCAAAGAACAATAGTAGAGTCAGACCATAAATACACCTGATCGATGGGAAAATCGAACTGAGCTTTAGTCTCAAGGTATAGCTTTTTGAGAATGGTGGCTGCGCAAAGTTCCAATCTAGGAATTGTAACTCCACTCAGCGGTGCTACGCGAGATTTGCTGCAGACTAGTTTGATTAAAACATCCCCTTGGGAATTGCTGGATTTGAGATATAGACACGCCCCATATCCGTGAATCGAGGCATCGCAAAATCCATGGATCTCGATGCGAGAGGGATTTGAGGTCAGGATGTGTCGAGAAAATGAGACTTCTTGCAGTCTTGGCAATTGGAGCGCTAACGATTTCCACTTTGTGTGAACATCTTGAGGAAGAGACTCATCCCATGTGATCTTCGCCTTCCAGCAGTCTTGAATCAAGACTTTGGCGAATAGAGTTACAGGGCCCAAAAGTCCTAGGGGATCGAAGATCTTTGACAACTCTGAGAGGAGTTTGCGTTTAGTTGCAACAACGTTAGGATCGACCTGATTCAAAGTGTACTGCAACAGATCGTTTTGGGCATCCCATATAATACCCAAAGTTTTCTGGACTGGATCATCTTTGATCAAGCAATCTAAGTCGAAGAACCTTTTATCGATTTTATCTAAAACTGAACGATGATTGGATGA